AATTAACATTTTTTAATGTGGAGTTCTCGAACAATCAAGATTTAGTCTTAGTACGTGAACATCAGATGATTAGATTAAAATATATTTAGTTTTTTTCGCATTCTATATGAGTAATATTTGTAAGTATCAATTCCGAAACTGTGTGATTTAAAGACTGTTTCAAGTGACAAATGAGGTTTTCATAAAAGTTTTCTTCTCGTACTGATATTTCATTGATTTTTATTTTTCCATATTTCACTCACTATCTCATTTTTTAATCATTAAGAACATTGATCATTTGTGTTGCAATAAATGATTGATTTGAAATTCTAAATGTATTTTATTTTAGATGTTATAAAATAATAAATGAAATCGCTATTGATTCTTTTGAAAAGAAATTTAGATCAAGTGTTGAGCGAAACTTTTGAGAGATATTAGATGATGGGTGGAAGAAATTTAGGAATTTCTTTCATAATGTTTAGAGTTGCATTATTGATTATTAAAAGTCTAAAAATACACTACAGGGATGATATTCCTCCTCGCTTTCTTTATCGTTTGCTGTCTCTTCAGATTATGTGTTTACTTCTGTAAGTATACAATGACGTATTATAGAAAAAAAATATCCAAATAAAGCAAAATCGTCAAGTAATTGTCTTGTTAGATATAATCTTAATAAAATACCAGTACAGTGCTGAAAAGAACCCATCGAAAATAAGTTTGAACTACTAAAATACATATTTCTGAGAATACATACAGATAAGTAGTACTTAAAAAAATTAAAAAAATGTGGGGTGTACAGAGGAAAAGGACCACTCTGAATTAATTTTTATTTAATAATCAGATATTCACTTTCTAGGACTTAATGGTTTGAAGAGGGACGTCAAATATACTAATTAATTAGTGAAGTCCAAATTTCAAGTTAGGAAATGAAATAAAAAAACGTGTTTTCTCTGAGTAAACATACTTTTTTTCAACGGATTCAGGATTTTGACTTCCAAATTAAATGGAGTAGCGCGAATCTGGAAAATATGGCCATAATAGTTTGGTCAGGAGAGCTGTCAAAAGTTTTGTCCCCTTAATGTTAATTTCATTTTTTTCTTCTTATTTAGCCATATATTGAGAGTTTCTTAAGCTACTTGTAAACTTTTTACACACAATTATAAAACTCGTTTTTACAAAGACAATTCCATTCAAAAAATTATTTTTTCAGTTACTTTTTATGCCAGCTAGATGCCGAGCAGTTATCGTACCTGACAGCGAAGTCAATAGCTAAGGGTTCGTATCCAGCTCAAGGCATATTTTCAGTTCTGTTTCAATATATATTTGATATTTAGTTCAAAACAGACGTACCATATTATTGATCTAGAAAAAAAATATTTCGATATTTAAGCATTGCAATTTGTTGCAGAGCTGTTAACGTGACATGAAAAATTTATAGTTTTGCAGCTTAAATTCCCCATTATTTTGAAGAAAAAAAATCTTATGAGTCTTAAAGTTTACTTTAAATTTTTAATTTTAGGATACCTGTTTAACTAAAATGAAATAAAAATTTTAATTAATGCTGTTTAATAAAAAAATCGGAATCTAGTCTTATACCCCAACATTTCCATGCATAATTTGTAGTAAATATATTTTTTATACTTGTTTTCATTATTTTGTATTAATTTAGGTCTAAATAAGAGGAGAATGTTATATTTAGCATTTTAATAATTTATGTCTATGGCATACATCATGAAACATCAGTGACTTTTTCGTCGTTAAAGATTGAATCTTCTAAATACAGCTCATATCCAAACAATAATTTTTCAAATTTCCCCTAAATTGCATTTATTTACATCTACTAAAGACTGTTATTCGGCATTGAAATTTCTTTAATTTACAAAATCAATTATTGATAAATTTTTGAACATGAATATAAAAAATAAAAAAAATCTAAAACTATTTTTTTTTCAATTTTGTATTTTAGTACACAAATATAATTCCGATAATCTTACAGATTTTTTAGTGACTATGAGACGTTTTTTTACGAATAAAAAAGGCCAAAATATGTTTTTACTAGTAATTAGAGCGTCAGAAAAAAGTATATATAAAAGGGACACCGGTGTCTAATTTGCTTGAAAGGATTACGAATGAAAGTAGTATTTTGCAGAAATAGCCTTGAACAGAATATTTAGCATTAAATTGCTGATCCATGCAGCAGATGGGCAAGTTTGAGTTACTAATTCTTTAACTTTCTAATTTTGAATCAAAGCGAAATCAGAAAGAAAAGAATCTACTCTGCCGAGAGGAGCTTGATCAAGGGTATGTTGAGCACCTCATCAGGGACATGAAGAAGAAAATCTATTGATTGCCAGGTACAGAAACACGATGAAAACTTCAGAACGTTAACTAGATGGCAATGAAACTCTTTTACTATACTACGTCTGCTAATTAAAATGTTGTATGTTTTAGTCATAATTAATGCAGGGTAGTAAAAGAATTAATTGACTTGTACGACTTTTTAAAGTAAATCGCAGGAGTCAGAAGCGAGTGTTTGATCTGCTGTATATGCTCTCCTTACTGCTTCTTTAATTGCAGTATACATTTATTGAAAATTAATTAATTTCAAATTAGAGCTTGATGGAAAAAAAAATTTAAAAGTAGTTCTTCCTCGTGCTTCGCATATAATTTGAAAAATACACAAAAAATTTCTGATCTAATCATATGGAAACATGCTCTAAAAACTGTGCACACATAAAATAAGCTTTGCCTCGTAACGTGTTAGTCATATGCTGTACTTTTAAAATAAAATACTTTACTTTTAAAATAAAATAAATGTTTAGAAATTTCACTAATCATTATGTATGGAACTCATCATTTATATCATCGTCATATCATTCATCATTTATTTCATAAAGTACAAAGGCAATTTAGAATCATTTTTAATATTTTATTTAGAAAAACAATAATATATATTTCTTTAAATACCAGGAAATACATGAAATATTATGGTAAGTTTGGGTCAGATGGCGATGATAGAGAGAAGGCCTGTTTAATTATCTCCGATATTTATTAATATATTACAGTAAATGCAGCTCCACAGAAAGCAGTTTTACTTATTTATCAATTTGGACAAAGTGTTGCTTTTAATGACAGCAAAAATTATTAAAACTTAAATTGAATGAATAACTCAAATAAATGATGAGAAAAATACAATTCTACTTCTTATTGAAGGAGATAAAGAAGAATTACATACAAAAAGGAAACTATACAAATAATTGTTATAACTAACAAATAATTACATACAAAAAGTAAAATATACATATAATTATTATGACCAACAAATAATTTTTGTGACTTTTTGAATTCAGTTTTATACATTGTATATATGGTTGGTGAAAACATCAATTTATTAAATTTTCACTTATTGAGGCAGCATTTTTACAAAGTGTATATTTATTATTCAATTGTTCAAAAAGTATGTAGCTTAAACAGTGTATAAATAACATTATTAGATTTATACAGTAATAGAAATAAAAGCACTAAAAATAAAAATCTAAAAATAAAATAAGTTTTATTTAAATATTATCTACCTTGTACTTCTAATTATGTATGAAGCTTGTCTATATCTATTAACAAACAGTTTCTCAAAATACAAATACACAAGATATTAATTTTTATGTACAATCCTTAACGATATTTACATTCAACATGTAACAATAATGCTACTATACTGTAATACTCTCTAAAAAGCATAAAATACATATAAATAAACTCAACAATTTGGAAAAGGAATAAACAGTGTATCTATAAAAAGGATATAGGAATAAAATAATAGATGGAAATAAAGGAATAAAGTTATAGATAGGAATAAAGAGTATATAGGAAGAGAGTGTATTCGCCAGTATATCTGGAAAATAATTTATCTGATATATCTATTGCGTAGAGTGATCAGATTTTCTGTAAGAAAAATAATTCATGATAAAAAATTGTACTTCTCATTCTCATCTCTGGGAAACTGATTCTTAGCTTTTGACTTTTTTCAAAATAGCTTGTGTAATTAAGACTTATATCCATGAATTTACAATTATCATTCATTATTTACCTTAATAGTCAATGCATAAAAAAATAAAAATCAGAGAGGCATTAACAAACTGATATTTTAAATTTGTTGTTCCCTTAAGAGAATATAAATTTAGTTTCAAATTTTAGACCCCTTAAATTAATTTTTTTATAGACATTTGAATGATATTGATTCGATTAATCAATCTAAAATATTTGTCTATTTCTGCTTTGAATATTGAGGGCGCGATTATTATTTTTTTCTATATATATATATTCTATTTTAATATTTTAGCCAATGAAAGATGTATCCAGTACTATTGCGGAAGTAACAATGAAACGTATCTTTACCAAATAATATACTATACTTAAGTATATCTATGAAAGTGACCTATGAGTGACCTGCAAATAAACTTTTTTTTATTCAGCGAAATCAGACATCTGAAACTAATTCTGATGTTTAAAACAAATTTCAAGGACTTTTGCATAGCTAATGCTAGACTTAAATATCTACACAGCAAGTGGTTACAGTATCGTGGTTACAGTATCCATTATCGTGGTTACAGTATCCATTGCAAAAATGCTTTCTGAAAATTTAAAATATGCTATCATCTTTAGCGTAATACAAATAAGACTCTTTTGTTTTGGTGTATGTATGTACATTTGTGAACATAATTTTCACTGCATTGCACTCGTATTATAAACGTGGCTTATAAAATTTTATACTATTATATACTTAGATGTAAAAATTTAATTAAAAATCATTTGATATACAGATTTAGTTTTTTTTTTTTTTTGATATCTCAAAGTAAAATTTGTGCTCAAAACTAAGCTTAATTAAAAGAAATTATAATTTTTTTTCACTTTTAAAAATAAAGACAAAAAATTCTTCAATAATTTTACAAGATCGGTTTAAAGTGATTTTTCAAATCTATGTGAAGTAATTCTGAAAAAGAAAACAGAGAGAGAGAGAGAGACTGTAAGTTAAATTAGATATTTTGAAGAGAAAAAAAAAGAAAGAAGGAAAGAAAAAGGAAAAAAGTAAAGAAAAAACAGATTCCTATAAATATGAAAGACAAATTCTTTACCAATATAAAAACTATTTGTAGGATTTATTGGAATGTTTCCAAAAAATGATAATCTTTTTATCACCGATTTTGATATCATGATTCAATTGCGGTGGCAGGAGCGTTAATTGATTATTAGCTTATCATTCTTTTTCCTCCGAAATTGCGGCACGCACTTCTTTTTTCACGATTGTGAGATCTTCTGTGTCCAGATGGCACACTCGTTTCATCTCAATATTCATCGATTTCTGACTGGAATTCTTGTTGGAACCATTGGTCATTCTTGATGTGAACCTTGAAAGACTATACGTGATTCCAGTTGGGAATGTCATCCTTGATGGAGCTGAAAAAGTGACAGGAAAAAAATAAGAAGACTTTTTCATTAAACTCGAATGATAAATTTATAAATAATTTACTAAATACATAAACAATTGAAGATATTTTTAATTTTTTGAATAAAATTTTAATTACTTTATGTTTGATTAAATCATTAATAATTTTTTTCATTGCATTCATCTCAATGCAAATTTTAAGAAATTCACTTAAATAACTGTTTGAAAAAATTACTTTTGCATAAATTACTGTTTTTATGAGGTTCTATTTAAATATAAATATAGAAAACACGAGTTTCTAATGTTTTTGTGAATTTTTAATTGGTTCAAAAAGTATTCAGTCTATGGAGATGCGTATCTTTGAGCTGGGGTTAAAAATTGTTGGGCAGTCACATACGCACTCTTTTCTCCAAATTTCAATTCACTCTGCATGCCGGTACTTTTTTCCGTAAAATTCAGTTTTACTAGGACATGATACTTAACGAAACACCTGATAAACTTATATTTTCACAGTAATAATTTTCGAAAAATCATTGAATCAATGTAACTAAATAAATATTACTTAAGATTTACTGTATAATAATTAATGGTAAAAAAGAGTTTTTTGGTAAAATAGATTTTACTGATGATGCACCCAAAGTGCCGATATTTAATACCGTTATTTGATCCCAATTTTTTATTGTGTAATAGTGTACTCTATCCCACCCTTCAACCACTGTTAGTAACCACTGTACTGAATCAACCTGTGTGTATTCAGTTTCAGTTTTGAACAGATACAATAATATTCATTTAGATGAAGGCAGTTTGGTATCTAACAGAGAATTCACTTTTTTTTCTGAATGTGTAAGTTAGGAAATAATGTATTAAACGTAGCATAGTACTAGGGAAATGTATTTCACAGAGTTTTCCGCGAAATCTGAGAAGTTAAGTTACTGAGTTGTCATTGTGTAGAACAGGGGTTCGATTCCCACTGATGGCTTGAAGTCCACCCACTTTCACATTGATGAGTATTAGTATGTCAAGAAAGAAAGACAGTTGGTGAGCAATATTAACCACTTTGCCCCTGTTTTGCCGTTTCTCACGAAATTGTGGAACCATAAACATCATAATCACATGACTTTTTAAAGGCAGTTACATAATGATTTGCCAGTAATTTGATGTATATCTATGCAATTGTTTGTGAAAAAATGTCGTACAAAGTCTTATTACATGATTTGAGTAATATTTTGGAGTCCTTTTTTTTAAAATTAGTACTGTGACATTAAAATGTTTAAGTCCACTCTTATATTCTCAAATGATTGTCTTAATTTCTCTCGTAATAGGCTGAACTCATTAAAAAATTCTGCTGTTTACAATTTTAAACAAAAGTTTTTCCAAAGTTTGTTCAAATTTTTAATAAAATCATAGGTTCGAACAAAGATACCACTAAATTTTCTTATATTTGTTCAGTTTTTTTGCTTGTGTAATTTTAAATTTAATAAGTGAATCACTTATAAATTAGCTTGAATTCCAAAAATTTCAATATGATTTAATTTAATTTGGTATATCAGCAAAATAATATTGATGCATTTGAACGTATGTATAAAGAATGTTTCAAAGTTAAACTTTGTTTGGGTAAATTTAAGAATATTCTGCAGTCTTTTTTAATTTTATACCAAGAAAAAAAATACAATTCAAAATTTTATTTGTAAAAAAATCAGCATGTATATTAAGTATTCTGTGCTTAGCATTCAATGTTACAGTAGCATGTAACAGTAAGGAAAGCTTAAACAGCAAACTAACGCTACTTAAAATAAAAAAGCATGCTATGTACTACTAAGCAGAAATGCAAGTTAAATTGGAATTGAAAATGGAAACCAAATTTAAACCCATTAATGCATGTCAAAATTCTATAACTTAACATTTGCTTGTAAAGCAAAACTTTGATCTAATTTGATTGTTTCAAATTACGTAAATGGTTGGTATTTAAATTATTTTGCATTAAAAATCATCCAGTTATGCTTTATTATTTTTAAGTTGAAAAACATAAACATGTTTAAATAAACACCACATTACCATTTACGGGGGAAATTAGCCATTCTAAAAGCTATAACAGAATTTTTCAACATCATTTCTAGAAAGCATATCTTTTTGACGTCAAAAACAAAAAGGTTAACATTTCCAAAAATGGTTATAACTGTCGAAATCCTTCAGTGAAATGGGACAGATAGAACACTGGAAAAGGCATACGCAGAATTATCGCATAAAAAATCAACTAAATTAGACTGAATATACACCGAAGAGCCATTACATTGTGACCACCCTCCATCTATAACAAAGGGTTCGCCCAGGTTTTCATGGTTTCTCACCCAGGAACAATATTTTCATGGGGCACATTAGGACCCATAATTCTCATAGAACAATCCCTGACGTCTGTAAGCTACTTTACTGGTCTGAACATAGTTGCAGACCAGGTTCAACCATTCATGGCAACAGTTTTTCCTGCGGGGAGGATAATGCACCATGTCATAAGGGTCGAATCATCAAGGAACATTCCAGTGACTTTTAAGTCACTTCTTGTCTTAAGTCACAGTCTTGGCCCCCAAATTCACCTGACCTTAATCCAATAGAGCATTTGTGGTCCTACTTGGAAAACCAAATTCGTGCTTCCACGCTACCTCCTCGCAATGTGAGGGAATTGAAAGACCAGTCTGTGAGCGCTTGGTACCAGATACCTCAGACTACCTATCAGCACCTTGTGGAATCAATGTCAAAGCGGGTGCTAGCAGCTTTGAGGGATAAAGATGGTCCTACATGTTATTAGCAGGGTGGTCATAATGTAATGGCTCTTCGGTGTATAACTTAAACTAACTTTGTTAAAAACATAAATTTCAGATGTTTATATAGTAGAAGAAACATTATATCTGAGGTTTTTGACAGTTTTTCTATGGAAGGATATTTTGAAAAGAATTTTTGACGCAGTCAATAAGGTGGTATACCAAGATTATCTTCATCAAAAGTATCGGATTTCAAAAGTTCTCAACCCTGATTCTCAGGAAAAATTTGTTAAACAATCATAATAAGATAAATCACCAACAAATCTAATATTATTGCGATAAATTAGAAAATTTCAAGGATAGATTTTGTCATGCATTTACGGGTCTGTAAAATACAAAACCATTCTTTTATAAGCAGAGCTTTGCAAAAAATCTTTTCCACAATCTCATCGCCGTAGAAAAGAAAAGATAAGGCCATCTACCAAAGCGCATAAACTATTCAAAATTCAACTACCATATTTTATGTCTCAAACATGGGTTAGTAGAAGGAGATTAGACAGTAGTTGCTTTCACGAGTCGTGCCTGGTAAGTGGGAACTTCTAAGTCGGAACTTTGTGTCCGACTTCTTAATAAAGCAAGAGATGTATACATGCTTCTGAGAGTTTTATGAAATAGAGATGTATTTTGAGAATTACTCCAATTAGTATTTTTTTCTTGACCTATAAAAGAAAGATATTCTTGACCTATAAAAGATAAATATATAGATGTAGACATTTAACTTTATTTTCTATGTCAACAAGGGTTAGCTTGTGGACGAAGGGTTAGCATATGGACGAAGCTAAAGTAAGAAAATAAAGGGAACGATGTTTGGTTTAAAGTTGAAATTAGAAGTGGCTTTTCAACTTAATCTAATTAATTTTTGTTACGCACATGAAATTTAATCTTTTTTCTAAGCTAGCGGCAGCTACTAGAGAGTGGTAGGAACCACTTTTGGAGCACCACTGAAGTATTCGTGTGACTCTCTCCATCTAGGTCTCATTATTTCCTACTTCCCTAAGATAACTTACTACCTTTTTTAAAATAATTATTTCTTAAAAAATTTTATCATTCGAGATTTCTAATCTATTTTTAAAAGGATGTGAATCTGTATTTATGGGAAAGCATTTCGTTTAAAAAAATGAATGATAAAAGAGAATTTGCGCAAAGAATTGGAAAAAATAATTCGTTAGAGGTTTTTACATTATCCCCTCTTCCCGAAACATTCCAATCTATGAAGCATTAAAAAATTTATTTCACTTGCAACACCTTCCCTGTGTGAGGAACAAAATAAATATAAATCGTACTCATAACTATAAAAATTTGCAATTTATTTTCATGCCAACAAAATATGAGAATAATATAAAATTCAAACGATATTTTTGCTTTAAAAAGAATCAACTTTATGAGTATTAATCTAACATATTGAAACTTATAAATTTGTAATCTAAAATGATGAGAATTATGAAACAGTAATCATGACATTTTTTTTCTTTTTGTAGCGTTTATTGTTCATAGTTAGTTCGCATAGTTAATTCATCTTTAATAAATTAATGGCTTTCTTAATCTCTTTGCTCAAAATCATCATTTTTGAAACAGTTTGATCTAGCCTATATTATAAGATGTTTAAAAAATAACTCAAATGGAAAATATTAGATATATTTTAAAAATGCAAGTGCATTTGGTATTAAAACTTTATGAAATACTGAAGTTAAAAACTTCAGTATTGTCAGGATTACATTTGAAAGATAATTAGCGGTATTTTTCAAAAGGAGGCAAATAGTCCCTTAATCACAGTTATATTGTTCTGGAAAATCCTAGTTTCAATATTCAGTTATATCATTAAAATAATATCCATTTTTGGTTTTTAAACACAGATGGTGAATAAAAAAAATTGTTCTTCACTCACAATATTTTTAGATATGGACAAACACTGTACGCTAAAAATATTAAAAAAGCAGTTATAACAGGAAAAGATGGCATCATGTTCAAATTAACCATGCCTTGTCCTTGTTATTATTATTTCTGAAAAATATTCAAATTTATGTAATGGTTATCAAAATATTAAGACATTAATTTTAATATAAAGCATACAATTATTTTTTTTTGGTCATTTGTAAAGTATTTTATAAAATTAATTTTACTGTTAACACTTTTCCACCATATTACTATTTAAACGACAATTTATATTTTTCATATTATAGTTTCAGTTTTTCAAGTGGTGGTAGTTTCGTAAATTTGGTACATAAATTCTTCTTCTATTTTCCTTATTATGAACTATTTATTATTTCTTTATTTTTTCACCGATTTTGTAATTCGCAACAGAAATTTAAACAAAGTCTTGTTCTGATTAAATACATCTTCATTTGATATGGTGATAGCTCAATTGTGAAATTTCATTCGATTTCCAAATTCTATTGTACCCACTACTTTTTCGTAATGAGAGAAATAAAATTTCCGTACTGAAAAGTAGTTTTATTGTTTTTAATATTCCTTTTCACTTTTTAAATATTAATAATAAAAATATATACAAGTATTTGATTGAGTTATAAAATGGCTATACAAGAGAATATTTTGAATGCTTTAAATTTGATTAAATAATGATAGTTAATTTAGCTTTAATTCGGTATTCGGTAAGCCATTTAGTGATTGATGGTAAACCCTGATACCGAAGACCAAAGAATCATGTTACACCTTTGGGACATGTTCTAAGGTATAGAAAATGCATATTTATTTTTGAAACGTGTAATACGTTTATTCTGTAGGCATATTATGCTTTGTAATTAAAAGATTTTTTTTTTCATATTTCATGAATCAACATGCCTATTTTATGACAGTTGCAATTATCATTTTTCATCTGATAAAGCACATTTCACTATTATTAAATTGTAGAATAAATGCATTAAATATTAAAAGTAAAAAGGTTATATAACGCATTATATTTGGAAAAAATTTAATTTTTCATTGTAAATATTCAGAATCAGAAAATAAATTTCTCACAGTTTCTAGAAGGCATTCGCAACACAGATATATTAAAGCCATATTGAAATATAAACTTGAGTTTCGGAATACGTTATTAAAAATGTAAAGCTTTATCTATAATGGAGGAAACATGTTTCAAAACTTGATAAAAAAATCTTACGAGGTCTGTTAAATCCATTTCTTCGAAATCCACATTTTAGAACAAGACAAAAACCATCTCTAAATGTCTTGTTGAAACCACCATAAATTATAGGATTAATAAAACTATTTGCATGTGCGAAGAAGTATGCGAGCCACTCAAAATTTTTCAACCATTCTAGCTCCTAAAATTAAGAAAATAGTTTCTTTAACAGTAAAATTACATTAAGATTACAAAAATATATATATATGATAAGCAACTGATAATAATTAATCTAAAGAATATGTATATATATATATCTTGGATTAATTAGAATAAAAAATATGAGTAATTGTACTCATTAGTAACAGTTCTCCTAAAGAAATATTTTTATTCTTTGTTGGTTTTTGAAAATGTTTTTTAAATTATGAACTCGAGTTTCCAATATTTATAATTAAGCAAATGAAATAAAATAATCAATCCAGAAACACATTATTGCTTTTGAAAAATGTTATAAATGAAATTTTTCCTATATATCTGCTAGTTTATATGCACTGGTGCTGCATTGTGCTACATTAGTGCTTTATATGTTCTGGAACCGTAATACATTGAAATTTGGCCCCCTTTTATTTACAGAGATATATTTAAAAAAATAATTGTAAGGTTACAATTTTGATTGAAGCATAAAATGCACCTCCATATTTCATACAGAAAATAAAAATGTGTATGAAAATTTTTCATGAGGAAACAGTTTCCTAAGTAGTTTTTTAAGATATGGATAAAATGTCTTCTGCTGAGTGGTAATAAAAATACTCTACCTGAGTTGGAATTACACGCTCCTCATTTTCTTCCACTGAGATTGAGGTTTCAAAGTAGTTATTCATGTATTGTATGAATGCCTAAAAAATGCACAGAATTAACATAGGTAAAGTATTAATACTTATGCAATATACATATATTTATGCAATATACAGATCTGGAGATATTATTTTCTTCAAGCTTAATCTTAACTGATGAATATTTACAGATGCTGCAATCCATATTGTTTCTTTAAATTAGTGAAAAATAATTTTTATGCAATATAAAGCGTTTTTGAAAGAAGTGAAAACGTTTGGAAAAGTAGGTGAGTTGAGTAAATTTAGCTTTTGATTGTATTAAAGCCAGCTTTAACAACGGCAAAAAAAACTTCAAAATCTTTAGAAATATAAAATGCTGTCATTAAATCTGCATAAATCAAGTAATTTGTGTTAAAGGAGCTCTTTTGCATGTTCTATACTATCCCACAAACTCGATTTTAAGCACGAAAAGTTAAAAAAATAAATTAAAAAATATTTAAAAAATATTTAAAAAAAGAAAATGTATGTACAATGATAAACTCTGTGTTAGTTAAAACATCTAGTGCACTGTTATACAATCCAATAAAATTTGTAAAATTTCGATATAATATTTGGTATAATATCTGCAACATCGCTAAATATGAGGGTTTTTTTAAAATTTCAATTTCTCAGGAACTATTCGACCGATTTCGCTTAAATTTTGCATTTTGCCGTGTGAAATTACTTTTTTTTTAAATTACGTAAAAAAATTTTATGCCTTACGATTCAAATTTTTTCTATTAACATTAAAAAAATGATAAATATTTACTAAAATTTATTATTTCATGGAATTATCTTTGGATAAGCAAATTTTATACTTGAGTGCAAATATTTCTGAATTAACTTAAAAAGTTTTCGAGTATGGCATACGCGCAAAAAGTAAAATTAACAGTAATTCCAAATTTTGAACTGATCTTCTGACCAAACAATTGGAACTCTATATCCCAAATTGCAGCTACCTCCTATATTTTTGGACTAAGAAATTCGAATCCGTCGAAGAAAAGATATTTTTTAAAGAAAGTAAGGTTTTTGTGACTAATTTTGTAACTTAAAATATCGTCTACACTACACGTCAATTTGCAAAACTGTGATCACCTCCATAAATCATTAAAATTGAATATGAGACGATCCAAATTTTAGGTAAAATGTTTTTTAGGGTGGTCCTTTTTTTAGCACTGTGCACCACACATATATTTATTTTTTGAATACTACTTATTAATATTCTCAAAAAATCACTGTTGGCCCAATTAAATTTTGCCTATCAAATTTGAAAAATAGCTCATTTCTGGGCTTTTGGAAAGTTTGTTGACCTTCAATGCGCAGGTCCACTTAAAAAAATTATATCTAATTAGTTAGTAAAGTAGAAGTGGAGCACAAAATACTAGTCAATGTTGTGGCTCACTCATTTCATAGAAAGTAGTACCTCATATAAATAGATACTTTTTTTAAAAAAATATCCCAGTGGCTCTCCGTTTTTGACCCAAAAACTTAAGATTTTTTTTAGCAAAAATAAGAAACGCGTATCATAGAGCATTTCAGCAAAAATAAGTAAAGATTAGATCCTAAAAATGTCAACAGAAATAAAAATTTCAAGTAACCAACACTGCCTGAAAACCCAGTTCTTAAACCTAAAATTAATAGCATCTAATTTTTAACTACTCTCATGATCTCTTTGAAGCATACTATCCATCTTTTTACTGCCCAGATATCTTGAGGCTGAAGAATACCATATAAATCAAAAACAAAACAAATTACACAAAAAACATGTGTCTCATTCTGAAACTTAAATTATCGCCTACACAACTTATTTAGCAAATTAGCTCTAATCATAAACCATAAATGTTATATCCTAATAAATGAAAGCTAAATAATTAGATTAAGAGTTGTTAAAGTTGTTCTGCCTTTTTGTTCTCTTTTTATTTTACGTCGATACTGTTGCAAACTATTAAGGAAATTCTCATATCATTAGTTGCTATAAAATGTTCAGTTTAACATTATAACAGGGATTTTTTTAATAACATTTTTCTGTGATTAATCAAAAGGCATTTAAGAAGGCAATAAAATTAAAACATTGCGAGCTGTAGTTTGCCCAAAGAATATGTAGACATCGGCTTTAGGTCAACTTCAAAACTCTTTTTAAATTAATCTCTTCTCCTTAAACACGTAACCCTCTCATGTGAGATTAAACTTTTGAGACGTTAGGAAAATTTAAATCTTAATTAAAAAATGTATCACCTAGTTTAATTTGGTGTTTTAAGTTGAAAAAGCAATTTCTTACGCTGGGCCAGGAATCATAATACTTTATAGCTTTGAATTATCTCTATTATCATTTGAGTTATTTTCTAAATTGTTTAAAAATGTATCGAAATTACAAATTATGGGTCTTCGCTATTCTTGAAAATTCATTTATTTTCAAAGAAATGACTAAAATAATTTGAGGAAAAATTCTGCATAATGAAATAATATTTTGAAGGATGCTCTAAATGAACTAATTTGATGTACCATAAATATTTGTCTACCTGAAAATGCTCAGGGAATGTTTGAAGTAAAGCAAGAGACTCAAATGGTGTCCAGCATATAAAAAAAGCTAGAAGAACCACGAACACCATTTTGATCACCTGAAAAAGAAAAAAACACATTTTTTGAATCAATGGAGTAATTTAATTTTTTAATTTAATAGGTTGGTGATAATTGAACTTTTGCAATTCCTAATTGCTTAACTTACAGTATTTCCTTTTATTTAAAAGCAGGCAACAGAGCAATGTGAATGAGTAGAAATGCACAGATTAGGCAAATTATTTAAAAATGTGCGTTAGCTATATAAATTTTTATTAATTAAAATTATCTGTTAGAGACATTCAATGCAATTGAAATAATATTGAATCCAAAATTTTGGACATTCTAGACAAAATGAGCCCCCAAAAATGTGTGAGGCGATGATTGATTGAGGCCTTGAATGCAACTAAAATGACATTGGAAGCTAAATTTTAGATACTAAGCAAACAATGGTACCTTCATTGTGTTTCGATAGACCCTAGAGTTCCGTGAAAGGATCCCAAGGATTCCAGCAGTAATGGCTTTTTTAAACAGTAATGATTTTAAGCATTTATTTTTATTTATATCCAATCAATATAATTTTATGATATATTTATATCCGATCGAATCGATATTAAATGTAGGACAAAGCATACACGAATTTTTACAAAATTTTAAAGACTGTAATTTTATATGGCAAAATTCAAAATTTAAACGAAATTTGTCGAATAGTTCTTGAGATATTGAATTTTAAATACAGATTTTCTTTTAAATTTGATTTCCCCGGAATTTAGCTCAAATAGACGATTTAGCTCCTATTTTGTATTTCGTTAAATAAAATTTCACTTTTTAAAATGATTTAAAAGCTGATTTAATACCTGGCAATAAAAAAATCTACCATGATTGAATAAAAATTAAAAAAACAATGAATATTACTAAATGTTATTTTTGGAATGGAATTATCTTAATGAATTTTATAATAGCAAGCAAAAAACTTTCAATTAACTTAAAAGGTTTGCGAGATATGGCAAAATATGTAAAAAGTAAAATTAACATTAAGGGTTCCAAAATTTGAACCGATATCCTCACCAAACTATTGGGACCATATTTTTCATATTGCGTCAACCCTCTATATTTTGGGGATTAGAAATCAGAATCCTTCGAAAAAAAGGTATGTTTTCTCAGAGATAGTACGTTTTTGTCTCGGTTTTAGTTACTTAAAAAATCATAAACACTTATTAATTAACCTATTTGAGTTAACCCCCTCAAACCATCAAAATTAAGTCCTAGAACGTGAAAATCTGATTATGAGAGCATAAGATATTCGGGGTGGTAAGTTTATTTTTTTGCCTACTGTACAAAATTTATTCTATTTATTCCAGGATAGTTACTATACTTGTTACTTTGAAGGAAAGAATATGTTTTGGGGAAATTGTTGAAACGCCAAACTAGGTCTAAATAAATGCCTCTTAGGGATCCAGAGGTTTCCTTGTCTTCTGGATTGGTTCAAAATTACAAGGTTACGGAGTTGAACATTAGTAGTCGTAAACCCAAAATTGGGTCAGCTGTTCAACGACGATTATAAAAAAAATTTTAAAAGTAAGATCATTTCCATAATTCCCAAAACAAATAAATGGGTGTTCTGTGAAAAATAATGTGTCTTTTTTAATGTGACCAGGAAACTATCTCAACTAATTTTCAATTCTACCAAAATTTGTAAAAAGTTATGTTACTTTGAGTTAATTAATACTTTGAAACAATTTTAACTTCCACATGACGTATGAGCCTTCGCATGCTTACCCGACCAATTTAAACGTTTCAACTCATTTAGATGCAGTCATCAATGGCTCCTTATTATAGATCAATACCTCTGTTTCTGAATATGGAAATTCCTAATATGGATGTCTTTTGTAATAAGTTTTGATATGGCCGAGCACAATATGGCATTTAGAAAAAGATAATTAAATTAACATGATAAACAATCCATTAAGAAATTTAAATAAATTAATTCGTTTTCAAAATTGATTCAGCAAGAACGATTGAATTAAAATCTGACGAAACAATTTTTTAAAAAAATAAATTATAAATCAGCACGTTATTTGATAATGTGATACAACTTACTTTTTTTCGAGCCTTATATTGTACGTTCATGTTTTGGATGTTGTGTTCCCCTGGAACTTCAGATATCCACAATTTCCAGATTATCAACGAATATGCCATTATCATAAGAAAAATCGGCAAAAAATACAAAGTTACACTCACAGTTAAATAATAAGGAAACCGGTATGAATTATAATAATCGCAAGTGTCTTTTTCATCACTGTAGAATGTTTTGAGAGGCCATTCTTCGCTGCACTTTGTCTCCAAGAAGTTTTTGAACTGAAAATCAAAGATTAATAGATAAAACTTTGTCTATTGAAATCCAATAAAATATGCATGACATTTATTACTTAAAACTTTTACCAACCAACAACTTTTGTATGAAATTCCGTGTCAAAAACTTTAAACTTTCAAAAGGTATTGTTAAAAAATTGTGGGAACTTTGTTACGCCCATTTCAAAAAGTTTGGCTTCTAAGCAAGCCCGTGTCAAATCCAAGAACAGATAGCTCTGGATTGAGAAGGATATGGTAAGGATATATCCAAAGATACGGTGAGATTCAAACCAGCTATTGTTGTGTAATTTTCTAATTTCTGAAGAACCTATCTGTTCTTCAATTTGATGAATGCTTATAATAAATCGCACTTTGCATTGAGCCCAAACCTGTGTATGAATATGTTCAATTAAAAAATTGTAAAGATTATTTTTTTAATCATTCGCTTATCTCTAATCTTTCTTATCTCTGGCAAAGTGGTCTTTCTTTCCTCCGAAACTCTATGTAAAATGGAGACAGAAGGTTCGAATATTTTCGTAGATATGTATTAATATCTTACTACATAGATATGTATTAGATATATATTAATAGATATGTATTAATAAGTAAGTTTTCTTTACGTAAAGAATGGCTATTCTTTTGTAAAATTGAAGAACAGATATTGCAAAATGCTTTAATCTTAACGATCTTCTACAATAAAGAACGTTGGACTGAAGGACAATACACTACGGTAACAGAGGATCAATTATGTAATTACTGGCAATAAATCCTACTGAACTTCTTCACCGTGCAGTATTGCTGTTCTGTTCTGAAGTGTGGGTATACCCCGTCATACACTGATTGTATATTTATGTAGCCTTTTTCAAACATGAGCTGCTTTTCAATTTAAAAAAATAATAACCATTCTTTTAATTTACAAAGAAACCAACATATGCATCAGAATGAATTAATAAACCCCACTGCCCGCCTTAAAAAATTCACAAAATAGACACCATAGCTTGTTGCCGCCGATTTAAGTGTCTTTGAAATACTTGAAAACATCATTTAGGCCTTTTTTCCATTTGCTAAAATTTAGATTTTATATAAGAAAATAAATAATTATCAATAACCAAACTTCATAAAACAGTTAAATGAACCACTATTTAAAAAAAATATTATAGTAAGTACTATATAAAAATTTTGCATTATAATATATTGGATTAAAAAGATTAAAAGGGTAAAAAGATTAAAAGGACAAATACTTTATTCTGTTTAATAAAAGGCATAGACATCCGATTGTTACAATTACCAAATAAATGGTAAAACAAATGATAATTCGAGAAAAAAGAAATTTGTATTATTTTTCTTCACATTTATTAATATTTAGACCACAGCATGAAAAACCATTTATTCTGTTAAATTTATTTTTCAGTTTTGCATACTTGCTAAATGCGTAGTAAAAAGAACTATACTTTTGAAAACTTGAATTTTCAGTAAACCGATACCATAACGAAAGGAAGAATTGCTAAATGAATAGTTTCAGAACCCTTAATGTCTTCATGATACCAGAAACCAGAAATGGCTTTGACATACAAAGATTGCAGTTTTATTTTTAAAAAAAATTCTTTGTGGAATTATACTGTTTCAAGTAAAGAAAAAATACATTATCCATAGATAGAGAGATTTTTTTATAGTGCAAGCTAAATGGATGCCAAACTCCAAGCGTGAACGCAGGGCTTGATTATAGCCTAGGCCCAATAGGCATTGGCTTAGAGTCCACAATTTCTGAGGGGCTATTAACTCTTTTTTTCATTTCAAAAAATTTATATTTAGATTGTCATTATGGTAGGTAAGTAGGTACTTTTTTTACGTCACACCAGAGCTGCATAATGGGCTATTAGCCACGGTCAGAGAAATCTCTGAGGATGATCCGAAGAAATATCATCACAATTTTGATTCTTTGCAGAGGGGAATGCATTTGAATTCTTTGCATTCTTCCCATTCAAGAAGTCAAGCATTTTACAGAAGAGCAGTTTAACGAGATCTGATACCCCGCAATCTCGATTCCGACGGTGGATGATTAAGGTGGTCACTCACACTCTTATTGACCACAGCGAGTGATGCTTGACTTCGGCGTTCTACTAGGAATTGTGTCTCCATGATTAGTCTACAGTAAGACTAGTGATAATGGAATATTGTGAAAACAAGTGATGCATAGCATGTTCTTTTGATTTAATAAATTCAAGCATTTTAAATTTAATATGTTTCTAAAGCTGAGAAATAAAATATTTTTCTTTAACGTCATCGATTAACAATCGAAATATAACAGTTATAGATTTTACAGTTCCAACTCTCATCAACTTTTTTTTTCTAATTCTACAATTCGTTCACAATTTTTTACAATATATGTATCACTAATTTTAAGTTTTCTTGTTGATGGTAAGAAACAAAATGGAAGGGTGAAATATTCAGGTAAAAATTAAATATTTTACTTGAGTTGCTTAATGTTTGTGAACTGTTTAATGTTTTCAATTTGTATTTTCAATGTTTTAGAGGTTGTAAACGATATTTCTCGACAATTTCTTTCTGTTTGACAAGAATTTAGTAAAATGAAGAACTCAGTTGAAAAAACCTCTATTGTAACAAGCTCTTTTATCTGTGCATTTAATCTAAAATAAGAGACTCGAACAGCAGAACACTCCAGAAAAAAAATCGATGCAGTCGTAAATCGCCAATTTTAACAACCGTAATCGGATTCCGTTCTCGAAATAGAATTAGGGATCCGGAATTAGCCCTCAGCATAAAATGAAAAAATTAAATAATTGCTCAGTTCTTACCCCTTTTTAATGAAGAACATATGTTTTTGTCACTTCAGAAATCTGATTTTATGGGTTTTACTTTTACACCATGTCTGGTTTGTAATTCTATTTTTCCAGACATTTTTAATTCCGATACAGTTTGTATTATGGTATCAATAAATTCCAATTATTCTTTGTTTTATATGATGTAGTTTTTTCTCTGATCTAGCAAAGAAATATAAAATGTTTCCCATAGAATGTCCCAATCTCGTTGATTTCAGAGACTTTCCAAATTTTCATAATAGTCTCTGATTAAAATAGCTTAAAAATAACATATCATTGTGTTTAGTGCCTGAAAGTTACTTCGCAAACAGCTATTATATAATTTTTAGCCATTTTTAAAAATAAATTTTTCCTTCATTGTCTCATTCCAAGCAATAAATCTTGTATCATTTATAAGATACACAGTTTTCGAATCTAAATTTTAAATAATTACTTATGACTACTTCTTACTTCAATTGGATATCTTTATACTTAAGATGCAAATCATTTTTTTAATATATTTTGCCCCTTATTTCCATCCCTTGCTTTTAATGTCTTTGGGCTTGACTTTAGGCTAAGGTTTGAAAACGAAGCCTTAAATATTGTTTTTCAACTTCAGTTACTAGAAAATGCGAAAAGTCATTATTGTTCAAAGTAGAGATAGCAAAAGTTGCGTATATTAGCTTTTGGTATTAGAAGCATTAGCGAGCAAAATATTATAAAATATTATTTATTACTGCTTCTACATTTTTACTTTTAAAATATGTCAAGTAGTCTTAGACAGCTGTCACATTTAAACTGAAAATTAATTATAAGGAAACACATACCTGGAATACATTGTGCTGTTTCACAATAAGGAATGGAATTGAAACAACCGATGATATTATCCAAATTATCGTCATAACTTTGGATGTGCGTTGCTTCGTGATCCTTACATGAAGAGGAAACATGATTGCCACAAATCGGTCACAAGAAATTGCAGAAAGTGTTAATACGCTGGTGGTTAAACACACCACTAAAAAAATTTTTAAAAAAGAAAATTTATCAAAACTACTTCCACCTGATTAAATGGATATCAAATCAACTAGCAGTATTTGAAACAAATACATTAGTTGCTTTAAAAATTATAAGTAAATTCCATTTTAAGTACAATAAAAAAACGTGCAAAGTTAAAATAGCTATTAACATAATTAATAACAAGATTGTAAATAATGTAGCGGAGATCTATAAAACTTTTCTTTCTTATATTTCTTAAAAATAAGATTGTATTGTGTTCCTTCTATATACTGTACAATATGATGAAGGTAGAACTCATAGGTTTGATTGTTCTTTTGTTAGATTTCTGTAAAGCATAGAATATAAATGACGAGATGCTGAGGACAGCAACTGTTCGAGAGGCAGATGGCAGATTCCACATAAGAGATTAAGATCGTGAATACGTCCTTTAACGCATCGTAAATATGTCCTTTAACGCGTCGTAAATACGTTGAGTATAGTAACATACTAGCCCTTAGTAATAATTAATGTACTTTTGTCAACAAGCAACTACAATTTTTTTTAACAACCATTGATCAGATTCTTTAAACTTGACTTAGAAGCATATGCTTTTCACCTTTTCTGTGCTAAACAGTTCTAACTCTTTTAACAATGTCTATTGTTTTATTGTTACACTTATGGACGATAGCAGCAAGTAAAAGTTCTCATATCCTGCTTGCGAATAGCACTGGTCACTCTCAGGACAATATTTCCACATGATTTTCTAAAACGTTGTATTTTAGAATATGAAAAGACGATATTGTATCTTAAAATAAGAAAAAGCTACAGAGCAAATTAAAATAGCTGGAATAAACAGGATAAATATTTTCTAAAAATATTTCTTGACCAACAAAATTTTCTTTCATTAATTTGACGTTTGCTTTTTATTTTAAAATCAGTTTTAAATCAATTCGGCTTTACAAAAAATTATAAGAAATTCGAAGTGTCCACGCTTATATGGACGATTTACGCATACAGAAATAAAAAGATACTTAGTCTAAACAAGTTCTTATTAAATATTTTCGATAAATATTTCTTGACCAATTAAGGTCTCTTCCAACAATTTGACGTTCAATTTTTAATATGAAACTAGTTTTAAATGAATTCATCATTACAAGAAATTATAAGAGCTTCGTAGATTATTCGCCCTTAATTTGGTGATTTACACACCCAGAAATTAAAGATACTTGGACAAAGTAAGTTCTTATGAAAAAGTTTCTGTAAATATTTCTAGTCTAATGAAGGTTTCTTCTGATATTTTCAAGTTCATTTTTTAGTATCAAACCATTTTTATATGAATTCAGCATTACAAGAACTTCATTCTTATAAACTTGACCATCTATTGGAGATTCAAATACACTTAAATCGAAGACTAATAAAAATTCGACAAAGCTAATTCTTATTAAATATTTTCTATAAATATTGCTTGACCAATATAAATGTCTTCAACTTAGGCTCAACTTAAAAAAAGTTTAAAATGAATTCAGCTTTACAAAAAATTTTAATAGCTTCGCAGATTGTCGCTTCGCAGATTGTCCACCCATATGTTGGAGATTTACATACTCTGAAATAAGAGTGATTATATTTGGACAAAAATCAATCCTTTCGTCTACTCTTTTTATACAAAGCCCGTTTTAAATGCATCCAGCAGCACAAAAACTTATAAAAAAATTCGCAAAATGTTCACTTATATATTGATAATATTATTACTTTTCAAATTTGAGGGATTTGGGCTAAACATGCTCCTACTAAAATTTTTCTATAGAGAACTTTTATCTACCATGAACTTCATTTGGTTCTAATTGCATTTCCACAACTATGTAGCTTAGCTAAACATTAATATATGTCAAATGTAGTCACTTTTGTTGGCATTTGTTTCGACGTTTTGTTTCCTTCCAAATGATTGTAAGTGTAAAATGCACAACTATTTATTAAAGCAGTGAACATATTACCTAGATTTACGAATAGAATTTTTTCCTCTTTTAATATCTAAGTCGGTTTCAGAAGTAAATGTTTTATTCGTCTATCACTTTTAAAATTAGCATTTCTTATATGAAAAACGAATAATGCCTTAAGTAATTAATAGTTAAAGGTACTTTTATGGTCCCAGAACAATTATTAATAGATTTTTTTTTACAAAAAGGTGTGAGATTATCTTTCTAATAACAAGTTTATCAAAGGCGAAATAAGCGACCAAATACACTGTAGGTTGCAACAGTCCTCAATATTTAATTTCACCAACTTTGATAAAAGCAAAGTAAACAAAGATAACTTTCGAGAATAAGAATTTGGATTTCTTTTATAAGTTTTATCTGCGTAATTCTCAGAGAAATAAGATAGATATTTTATCATAGGTAGTATAGATATTCTGTATTGAATATGTTAGCAGCGTATTCTGAATTATGAAACATCAACAGCTTATGTCTTATATCATTGATAATCGGATGTTATATAATTTTTACTCCTTTCGCGTATCGAGAATTTAGCAATTTTGAGCAACTATTGCTTTTCATATTTTATTTTCCAGGAGTGGCAAAAATTAAGTTGCTTTTTGTGCGTATGAATTTGTAAATATATATATATAAATATGTAATTATAATATATATAAATGTAAATAGAATATATATTTGTAAATATCTGTTAGCTTGGTTCTAATTTTTTTTCTTTCTATCACGGAACAAAATTAAGATGACTTTATCTCTGTATACTCAAAGTATATATATATATATATATATATA